TTGGCAATTGCTGTCCCAGACTTGGACGTGCATCCTTGAGCCAGCGTGTCGGTCTAGGACGGGCTGCTTCTCCTCGCACGGGTGCACCCGGGGGATGTGTGCAGGCATGCTGGTGGCGGCCTTAGCTGCGCACTGGGAATGGCCCCCAAGGCCTCCTGAGGGCAAACTTGCTGATTCTGCAGCACATGTTCTAAAATAGACCGAGACCCGTTCGTAGATGCCTAAGAGAAAGGAAAACGAGTGTCCACTAAAGCACGTCTGTAGAGGTTTATAACAGCTTTATTCAAAATTGCCCCAAACTGGAGCAGCCCTAAGGTCCACCAACAGGAAAACAGGTAAATTACAGAATCCTCATACAGCCGAGTGCTGCTGAGCGACAGTCGCACAAGGGACACACGACAGGAATGGATTGTGTATGGATTTTGATGAACAAAATGAATCAGGCCCAACAGAGTTCCTGGGAGATTCCATTTCTATGAGGTTCGACAAAGGCAATTTGGGACATGGTGGTCCTCCAAGAGGCGCAGCTTACTAGAAAAGGCAAGGAGAACTTTCTTCGGGGGTCAGTGATAGAATTAGGGCACTACCTGGTATGTGTGTTTTTAAAAATAGTCAGATGGGACATGTGCATTTGGCTGACTTTATTTCTATAGTCAACTAACTATTGAATGATAATAATAATAATAGTAAAATCTAGTCAAATGTCATAGAGCTTGGACTATGAGTTTCCATTATAAAGAGAGGGCGGGTGGGGGACAGAAACAGGGACCAACAAGGCGGTAACGTGTTGTATTTAACAAAGGGTATTTTCCTCCAACTCTGCTGCATGTTCTGTGTGTATGCTGATATTCACGGGAGGCCTCGGAGGAAGCCATACATAGTGGCTGCCTTTCTGGAAAGAAATGGAAGACTTGAGAAGGGGCGGGAGAGACACCTGTGTCTTTGTGCACTGTTGGATCTTCATTGTTTTCATAGTTGATGACTATCAGACCTAGCGAATGTCTCTCCATGGGGTGACAGGGTGCCAGAGTTTCGTGCTTCCAGCCTTTGACAGCTGGAAGCAGGGACACCACTGCCGCAGCAGGGGACAGCGGCCCCTTGGCGCTCACAAGCAGAAGTGCACATTTGGACCAGCAGATCAGGGACAAGGCCAGTGGAAGTACTCGGAGAGGGCAAATGAGTTATCTGAATCCTGGCTCAGGACACCAAGCGAAATAAACTGAGTATCCAATCGCAGAGATTCCAACCCTGGGAAAAGCAAACCTCTGGTTGAATAATGTCACAGCTCACCCCGTGGCTTTAAGGAGTCACCTGAGTAAAACATTTATTTTCTTTCATTCAAATAAATAAGATGCTTCAATACTTCCCTGGTAGGTTGGGAGATGAGACTGCGAAGAGGTTTTGAGAGTCCCTGGAAGACGGAAATCTAAGACTGGGATAGTCAGCTAGAGTTTTGGGATCAGACAATCCAACATGTGGTCTTTATTTTCATAACCAAGGACATACCATCCAGAATCTTACTGCTTTCCAGGGCTGGCCTCAGCGCCTGTGAGGCAACACGCTGACTGCGAGACCAGCCAGAAGCCCCTCTGTTATTCTGGTTGGGGTGTAAGAGATGGGGAGGCAGAGGAAAGACTGCACCTGCTCCAGCTAGACATCTGGGTCACCAGCTGTACTAGCAAGGGAGGCTCAGGTCCTTCCCCAAGGCAGCTTGAGCTCTGGACAGACAGGGAAGGAAACCCATGACCTGTCCTCCGGAGCTCCCAATTCAGGGATCTAAGGACAAAGTTGTCCAGCAACTCCGCCTTAGGAATGTGTGGAATCCTTGTGGAGCCAAAGTCTCAGTAAAAAAAAAAAAAAAAAAAGGCAATCTCGGTCAGAATCATGTGTTCAGGCCAACCTCTAGCCCGAATGTCTGACCCGGACAGAGAAAGCTCAGGTGCAGGGGGGAGCCTCTTTACAGAGTGTGACGGGCAGAACACGGTGGGGGAAAGGCTCAAGAGGATGGCCAGGAGAGGCTAAGCCCAGTGGCAGCTGGGAACAGGCCTCAGGGACAGACAGACCGTGAGCAGAGACCGCAAGGGGGTTGGGCTTAGGGGACTGCATTTGGTCCTAGCAGAAGGACTTCAGACAGGGGATCCATGACCCTGGGGACAGACCCCAGGGCATCCTCTCCCCTTCATGATGGAAGCTGAGGGCCAGAGATTAGTCTTGTTTAGTGGCAGATGGCAAGCCTGAGTTTAGTCCATGACCTTGACTGCAGCCTCCCAGGCCAGTGATCCCAGGGAGGAGGCCTGATCTTTGGGAAACTGAGGCACTGCTTAAGCTCTTGGCAGGATAGCTGCATGCGTTCTTCCCACCGGGAAGTACATCCTCTCTGGATCCAGAGGAAGGGAGTTGCGAGGTCACCTGGAGAGACCATTCCTGTCATCTACCCAACGGCTCCTGCTACCCTTCCCCCTGCCCGAACCCTAGATTCTACAGGCGGTGGGGATCTCTTCATTTCAGGAAACCTGGGCCGATTCCCTGACACCAAGAGGAGCCTGAAGTTGCCTGACCACATTCTAGCGCTCCTCCTTGTCAGTGATTGCTCTAGGGGCGGGGTTGTGATACACACAAAGTCGGGGCTACATTGGGTGATCCAGACAGCCTTATGCCTTCACCCTGCACCACTTCCTGCCTCTGAGGAGGTAGGGAAGCCTGAGTGGGGAGCTGTGATCTCCTCCAGGGGGCAGAGCAGAACCCGGACCCTAAGTCTCCATCAAGAGCCTCTAGACCATTAGCCTCCAGACTTCGGTGAAGGAAGGCAGCACTCAGCAGCATCAGGCTTGGTGTCACCATCTGCTGCCTTTTCTCTTACTTGCAGATAAAAAAAAAAAAATCTGAATGAGCAAAGGCCATAAACTGTGACTCCAGCCAACTGCAAGAGAAGTTGTTCAGCAACAGGCTTTGGTCAATCCCCTGGACTGGAAGTTTGCCCTCTCTTAAACTCCCAAAGCTGGAATTCTACCTATCTCACCAAATCCTTCTCCATCAGACCTGCACATCTTCCTTCAACACCCACCTTGGTTGACTTTCAACTGTCTTCAAGTACTTTCAGAAAGAGTGTGCCCCAGTCCCTCCTTCCTCAGTCACACTCATGTCCTGTTCTCGGTCAATCATGGTGCCATCAGAGCCCCCAGCATGGTGGGGCAGACGGGTCCTTGGCCGTGGTGTGGGGAGCAGAGACAGAGGACAGGCAACAAGGAAGCCCTAGATTGCCCTTGCTTAGGGCAGGAGGCAGGAAGCAGACAGCCACTTCCTCCCAGCCAAATACTTGATTCCTTAGAGCTAGGACCGTTGCTGTCTACTTAACACTGTCCCCAGCCCAGTGCAGCTAAGATGAGCAGGCAGAGCTTAGAGGTGGGGCTGCTCATGGCTGTCCACCTTTCTCTGTGACCCTTGCAAAGCCAAGGCCATTTGTGTCCAGCGAAAGGAAACAGTGGCATGAGGTCAGGAGAGCTTGGTTGGAACTTGAACTGTCACTAACTTGATGTGGAACTCAGGCCACATTGTGTTCACAATCCAGTGAGACAACAAGGAGGGTCTGGCATCGAAGAGGTGGACAGCGAGAACTCATTCATCCACCACCTTCTCCCAGCTCTATGTGGCAGAAAGCAAGTCTGCATCATGGAACTTTCCATGGAAGATGGAGCATTGAACAAGAGCAAGAACTCAACAGTGTGGTCAGGGGCCAGAGCCACACTGGGCTTTTGTGGGGGTCACCTCGGGTTCCCATGTGCTGTCTTGCCCTGAGCATTCCAGCTGTGGACCTCTCTCCCAGAGCAATAGAAGGAGCAAAGAACACGGGGTAGGGGAGCAGGACGACGGCTGTTTCTCAGGTCTGCCAGTCACTCTCTTTGTGTGCCCCAGGGGCTCCCTCAGATGCCCTGGAGTTGTTGCCCCAGCAACTTCAGGTGGTTTCATTCTGAAGCAGGGCTGTCTGCTTGTTTGCAGCCAAGCTCTGTTGCCAGCAAGCCTGGCTGGGCCCGCCAGTGACCACCAGTGCCCGCCAGTGCCCGCCAGTGACTGCCAGTGACCAAAGGACTGGCGCTGCTCAATGGGGCTCTAACTGGAAGGACAGACGCACCAGCAGTTGGGTCTTCTCTGGACCACGGCCTCCTAAAGGCCATCCTTGGGATGTGAGTCCAGCTCAGGGGGTGGAGTGAGAATGGGTAAAAGCACCTCTCAGGAGAGCCAAAATGACCTGCTTGGGAGAGCAGGGGGGACTCCAGGGATCTCAGCAAATGTTAGGCCTGAACAAAGGGATCTAGAAGTTGAAGGTGGCTGGAGAGGGTGGCCAGGGTCCAAACTGCCAACTAAGAAGGCCTGAGCTTGGGCAGGGAGCAGGTGAGCCAGAGGTGGGCTGATGTGAGCATTACAAATTCCTCATCCTTTTGTAGTGGCACCATGCAAGGTTCCAAGACCCTCTGGAAAGTTTCCACCCCCACTCTCGCTTCCTGTCCTTCGGCTGGGTTGTCCCCTGAAGAGCAGCAGAAGTGACCCGAGTCGGCCCAAGATGAGCAAGGGAGGCACAGGCACCGTGAATTGCTCTCTCACCTCCCAACCAGGGATCTGCTCCCAGGTAGACCCCCTGGGACAGAGTGAGTGAAAACCAGAGTCCAGCGGGGGCTGGCCAGGTGGCTGCGCAAGACTCAGTCAGTGCAGACACCTGCGCCCCAGTCCCTCTGCCTCCTGCCCATTGCAGCAGGGCCTGCAAACGGTGAGTCCCATGTCCTGGGGAGAGACTCTCTGCTCTCAAAGTTGGCCCTGCAGCCACCCTCGCCTGACTCTGAATCCAAGTCTAAAGGAAGCGGTGGCTTGCTTAGCGGGGTCTTGGTTGGGTGTGGAGATCGTTGGGTGACTTTGGGGTAGGGAGCCCCCAAAACTGTGCAAGACGTGCCGGAAGTTTCATTGGTCCTCAGGAGGGTGTGGTTGCATCGGAGATCCTGTGCCTCTTCCTAAGTCTTGATGTGGGTCACGTTAGCCCAGTCAGGAAACCGATCCAAATCAAAGAGGATCCGTCCCCACGTGTTTACCGCTAAAAACACACAAAAGACTCCGATCACGTTCATCACGAATCCTGCTTTCATCTGGAAGAAAGAAAACGGGGTCAGACTCAGCTGAGTTGGCTGGGCTGTCAAAAAATGCACAGATGGGATGTGGGGGTCTGTCAGAACACATGCAGATGTGTTGCAGAGGTCTGACATACACGCGTAGATGGGTCACAGGGGTCAGTTCTCTTGCCAGGGGAGCTGCTTTACGGGGCACCCCCTGTCGCGGTCCTAGGTAAAGCCACAAGTCCGTTAAGTGTTCTTGATGCTCCAGAAGGGGAGGAGGCAGGCTGGAGAGGTACTCAGCACCTATTTTGCATTTGGGAACTGACCCCAGGGAAGTGCTGGACGGCAACAGCCAAGGCCGCTTAGGGAACCAGTGGCCAACCCTGGGCTGCCACTCTCTGATGTGCCCAAACTGCTGCTGTCAGACCTTCCTGCAGATATGTTTCAGGGGACTGGACTCAGGGTTCCAGCCCCCTGTTTCTGGGGTTCACCCCTCTGTGTAAAACTGCTGCAACAGCTACAAGAGGCTTTGGGACAGCAGTTATCTGGCTGGTTCCAAAGTCAGGGACTTCCTTCTGGAGTTTCCGGGCTCTCACACTCACCCCTCCTCCACCCTAGTGCCATTGGGGGTGATCAAACCAAACTGGCACGAAGAGCTTTTCCTTTGCCCACATTGGTTGCCAAGGCATTGCATATGCCCCGGGCATGATTTCTCCCCATCGCAGCTTCTAGGGCTTGGGACATCCCAACAAATCTCTTGGATTGTCATCATTTGCACCTCCCCCCCATCTGAGCCCCTGTCCTCACTGGCTCTGGTTCCACCATGAAGTCTGTTCTTGGCCATGAGGGTCCCTGTCCCCATCCCTGCCAAGTGCTCAGTAAGTCTTTCCATGGTACCCACAGAGCTTTGCTCAGGTGGGAGGCACTTACAACTTCCCCCAGAGAACACGACAGCCTACGACATCTGAGATCATTTCAAGAAGGAACAAAGGGCCCTATTACAGACATAAGCCATGAGCATGGGTCTGGTATGTTCCAGCTCATTCTAGAACCATGGAGTACCCTCTTGAAACTCATGCCCCACCCATCCATGAGGCACCTCTTATCACAACAGCACCACCCTCTGATCAGATGACATGAATGCAGCTGAGTTACCATGTCAGAAACCTTGAGGTGTCCGTAGGCAAACACGATGGAGTTGGGTGGAGTGGCCACGGGCAGCATGAAGGCGAAGGAGGCGCTCAGAGTACAGGGGAGCATGACATACAGCGGGTTGAGGCCAATAGAGCGAGACTGGGGAAAAAAAAAACACACACACACACAGTGTTGTGACTCACGGTGACCCAGGCTGCCACTCAGTGACACAGTCCCTTAAGGCAACAGCTAAGTCCCACCTCCAGGCCCCAGTCCTATGAGGGCCTTTACATGGTCCCACATCTCCGGCCACCAATGCCATGGAACACCGCAGGCTGAGCTCAGAGCCCACAGTTCCCGCTGGCCTTTCTGACCCCCTCCATGCGTTCATCATATATGTCCTTGACTCCTACTGTGTGTCAGTCTGTCCTGCCATAGACAGCCCAGGAGGCAGACACTGTGCCTTCCCATCACCTAGTCCCTAGCTTCCTGCTAAGGTGCCTGGGAAGGCAAGAGAGGATGGCCTGAGAACTTGGCTTCCTACCACCCGTATTGGAGATCCACAGATGAAACTTTGGCTTCCTGGCTTTGGCTTGGCCCAGTCCTGGCTACTGTGGCCATTTTGGCAGTGAACCAGTGAACAGAAGGTCTCTCTCTCTCTCATTTTCACTCTGCTTTTCAAATAAACATATAAATCACACACACACACACACACAAAACCACTATGAACCCATGGGTTCCCATTTTATGAATTTTATACTCTAAAACTGTGATTTTTTTTAATGACCCAAGAGCATTTTACATGAATATACGACCATTTATGTAGCTCATCCCCTGTGATTGTGGGCATGTTTGCATGATAATTCTGTGCCATATATTACAATAAGGGGACTTCAAAAAGTTTATGGAAATGGAATTAAAAGATAAGATTGTGTTGGTGTGAAAATTCTGAACTCTGCCCATGTGGTTTCATAGTGGGCATTTTTCATAGACTTTTTGAAGAGTGCATGAACACATGGATTCCAAGCTTCCTTCACAACTAGCTAAATGCCTAATTCCATTTTCCAGGAACTTCTGGAAGTTTCCTCAGGTATGTCTGTAGGCACCTCTGCCTATTTGCTTTCTTTCTTTTTTTAAGATTTATTTATTTATATTGGAAAGACAGATGTACAGAGAGGAGGAGTGACAGAGAGGAAGATCTTCCATCTGATGGTTCACTCCCCAAGTGGCCACAACGGCTGGAGATGAGCCAATCCGAAGCCAGGAGCCGCTTCCCACACAGGGGCAGCGTCCCAAGGCTTTGGGCCATCCTTGACTGCTTTCTCAGGCCACAAGCAAGGATCTGGATGGGAAGTGGAGCTGCCAGAATTAGAATCAGTGCCCATATGGGATCCCAGCACGTTCAAGGTGAGGACTTTTAACCACTATGCTATCATGCTGGGCCCACCTCTGCCTATTTTCTAAGACATGGCAGGAGCAGGTCTATGGCTAAGGTTCCTGTTGGCTGAAAGTGCCGGAAAGGTTTCACTGGGTGGGTCCCATTTGGGCACTCTGCTCTTTCCTGACACCCCACCTACCTCCTTTCTCCTGGCTCTGGGTACCACCCTGGTGTCTGAGGACCATGGTGCTCAGTGACCCTGTTGGATGATCACCCGTTTAGCTTCCAACTTGTGGGTGCAAGGGCCACTGAGGCAGCTCTGGGGAACCTTACTGGGGGCCTGCTGGCTTTAGAAAAGCTTGTTTTCCAAGAGCTTACATATGTCTCACAGGGGCCTGGACATCCGTGCCTAGGCTTGGAGATAACCAAGCCGGGGCCTTGGTTATGGGAGAGGACATGTGACCAGCACTGACCACAGCCAACATGCCCCTCCGCTCCCCTCAGTCCTCCTTGGCACCTGTCTGAGCCGCACAGGCAAGGAGGAGACAGCCACCCTGCTATTTTTAACACTTTTCATCTTTGCTTGGAATGGAAGGAGAAACCACTTAGCTTTGCTTTTTATACACATGGACATCCGAATGGAAATTTACCAACTTCAACTCCATGTTCAAGGTCCTGTGTGAGTCTCTCCCAGGTCCAGAATAACAACGGCCCCACCCACACTCCCCTCTGCAGGCCCCGGGGCTGGCTTTTCATAGCCCTCAGCTCGCACACTCCTAGGAGTTAAGAACTCAAGGGACACGTCCGGGGAAGTCAGGTTTTCTGAGTCCAAGCCTGCGGGTAGAGACTGTGGGTATAGTCAGTGACTGAAGGAAGCATGAGGAAAGATGGCAGCGGATTCCCCTGTACGCTCTGCCGGCTTCTCTTCCCAGCCCTAACACGCATGTGCTGCAGAACCAGACATGAGACCCTCTTCCCCAGCCAGCTGCCTCCCTGGCCTCAGCAAGGCTCCCAGGGCTTCTTAGCCAAGAACCCTGCTTTCCTAACCTGGGCTGCTCCATCTTCTTAGTATGCCCTCCTACCTCCTGGTCATCTCTAAGCTGGGCTTCTCCCAACACCTCTCCCTGGTGGAACGGGTGGTGGAGGAGGTCCCAGCTGGCAGTGTCTCCCTACTCTGCATATACATCGACCACTGTCCCAGACCCCTTTCCTAGCCAAAGTCCCCAGCTGGAAAAAGAATGCCTTTTGATTTATGAAACGAAGCCCCAGGTCCATGTCTGGTGCCTTAGTCAGCACAGGGGAGGGTATGAAGAGGAGTCAACCCAGCAGTGAGGACCACAAGGCCAGGCTCATCTAGGACACAGCAGTCTGGTTTGGAGCTGAGACCAGACCCAATGCTCACTTAGTCTCTAGCCGCCAATCTCGCCCTCTCTCGGAGGACCTGGCACAGGGTCACAGTCTGACAACTTCCTGGGAGACAGTGCCCAAGCCCCCACCCAGCAGCCGCAGGGCCCCTTACCATCGAGGCGAAGATGGGCAGGAACAAGGTGGCCGTGGCCACGTTGCTGGTGCACTCGGTGAACACCGCGACGAGCAAGGACAGGATCAAAGTGATGGCTGCGGGGGGCACCATGCTCAGGGGTTCCATCTGTTTCCCCATCCACTCGGACAGCCCCGAGGCCTGGGGAGCATTGGGAGGGCAGTCACCTGTGGGCTCCTAACTGTGGCTCCTCTGGGACCTATTATTATAGGTCTAATCCCGATTGTCCCTCTGCTGCCCCCTAATTCCACATTTCCAGCCCTGCTGGTGCACTGTCTAGATTTAAACATACTCTGCCTTCTAGAAATTTCTGCCCAAATATCTCAAGGGCATGTCAGACTCTGTTCCCCCCGCAACTCGAACTCCTTCCTTCTGTCCTTTAATCTGCTTCTCCTCCATTTGCTCCCCAGTCTGAGGGTGGACTCACCGCCCACCTGCTGTCCGACCTGGATGACTGGGAGTCATCCTGCTGGGGTCTCTGTCTCCTTCATCCCATAAATCACCCCCTCAAATTCCTGATCCCCCTCTTTTCAGTCCTCCACAGTGCTGGAAGCCCAGGAGAGTGATTTGTGTTTGAAACTGGGGACTCAGCTTGGGGGCTTTGGGCAGAGAAGAGCTGGCAGAGCTATGAGAGGAGGCCCAGGACAGACCTTGGAGGGGGAAATGCTCATTTCCTAAGAACAGAAGAAACATCAGCAGCTGAGCAGGAACAAAGTTGGCAGGAAAGCTAGAGACCCTGGTGTCTTCGGGGCCAGGAGTAGAAAGAATATAAGGGTGGGGTGGCTCCCTGCATGATTGCATTTCGGGATGCAGGTTTTCTAGATGAGCATGCAATGCCTGAGCTGGAAGAGTGTGCGGTGAGGTGAAAGAGGCAGATACGGAGACGCACAAGGCCAGAGGTTGCGGACAGGTGAGGTTGAGGAGTGAGGCCCATCTCAGGGCACCCTCTCGGTGGAGGAAGGGGGTCCTGGGCAGTGAGGGAAGGGGGAGTTACCTCGCATCCTTTGGCCACAGCAAACCCGCCCCCCAGTAGCAGCACAATTCCCCAGGGCACTTTCTCCTGGGCCACCTTCCAGTTCAGCAACGGGGGTGGATAGAATGGCATTTTTCTTTCTGAGAAGAAAAAACAGACACACAAACCCCCACACATATATACACACACACAACAGCACAGCGTTAGAAAATAACAAGACAGCTGGCATCAAGGGACCAGAAAATGCACGAGGTTCATGGGGGTGCCAGTTTTGCCAGTTTTGCCTTGAAAGGTAGCCATACGCAGGTCCGGTGTGGCAGTCTAGCAGCTAAAGTCCTTGCCTTGCATGCCGAGGATCCTATGTGGGTACCGGTTCATGTCCCAGTGCCCTGCTTCCCATCCAGATCCCTGCTTGTAGCCTGGAAAAGCAGTGGAGGACAGCCCAAAGCCTTGGAATCCTGCACCCACATGAGAGACCCGGAAGAGCTCAGATCAGCTCAGCTCCGGCCGTTGCGGGTCACTTGGGGAGTGAACCATCGGACAGAAGATCTTCCCCTCTGTCTCTCGTCATCTCTGTATATCTGACTTTCCAATAAAAATAAATAAATTTTAAAAAGAAAAGAAACAAGACAACCACCTGCGCCGTGACTGTGACCCCACTGCACATACTGCTGCCAGCGCTGTGAAACCCAGACGGCCTTTTGGCAAAGCCATTTGGCCACACATTTCTAAGAGCCATTAAGACATTGATATCCTTTTACCCCAGCATTGAAACACCCAGAAACACCTCTTCTCTCTAGAGAAACACTCTGCAGGAGAAAACATGAACTTCTAGTAATGACAGATTCCAAAGGGTCCCTCCCGGCAACACAATGCCATTCTTAGAGAAAATAAACCTGGAGACCATAGCCCTCGAGGGAATTCCAAACACCCAAGAACCTGAGAGAGTGGATTCACGCTGCGTGCACGTGTTTTGATTGCAGCCATAGGCATGTGCATATTCACAAAGATGGGAAGGACAGAGAAAACAACCAGAAAGATGCTGGAGGCATTCTAGGGAACCTGGAACACATCCTGTTGCTGCTTGAATATGAATAAGATTTCAAGTGTTGGAAAAGAAGAAATTTTTGCACTGAATAGCTTGGCTAGCAGCTGGAAAATCACGGATCCCTTCCACCCATCCCTGGACTTTTGTAAGGCAGCCGGGCCTCTACAATGGAATGGGATTTGGGATCCTAGGAAGCCCATGGAGGAGCTCCTTGGTGCCAGGATCTCCACCCCAGGACAGGAGCACTGCTTACCTTCCTCTGTCTGACTGCAGAAGTTGAACTTGGGCTTCTGGGAAGGCATAATGAAGAGCAGGATGGCCACAAAGATGGCCACAGTGGCGTCAGAAGCATACCTGGGGGGTCAGGAAGAGCAGATGGTTGAAGCCCAGCCCAGCTATCAATCACCAGATCTGTGCTTGGATAGCTCCAGCCAAACACCCCTAGGGCAGAAACAGGCTCAGCCTGGTAGGCAAGCCAGAGCCACCCCAAGCTCCCAACAGGATTGTGTGGGAGACAGAGGTCGGGCTGGGAACCAAGACACCCACAAGCTTGGTCACCACCACCGGTGACCCCAAGGAGCTGGCTTGCTTCTGGGGTGACCTCCTCTTAACCAGATTCGCTGGGAGGCCAAGCTCACTGGGGTAGGTGACTTTGGGGTGAACCACACAGACCATCAGGATGGAACAGCCAGCAACAGCGGCCTTTTCCCTACCCATTGCTACTGTCTTAAAAAATTGGGCCCATTATTGTTGCGTATCAGACAGGGCTGCTACCTCTGATGCTGAAATCCCATATGAGCACAGGTTCTAGTCCTGGGTGCTCCATTTCTAATGCCCTGGGAAAGCAGTAGAGCATGGTTCAAGTCCTTGGGACCCGACACCCAGATGGAAAACCCCAAAGGAGCTCTTGGCTATTCAGAGAAGCCCAGCGTCCAATGTTGCAGCATTTGAGGAGTGAACCGGCAGACAGGAGATCTCTCTATGTCTCTGTCTCTTTCTTTCTGATAACTCTTCCAAATAAATAATTAGGGCCCAGTGTGATGCTCTAGATGCTAAATCCTCGCCTCGTAAGTGCTTGGATCCACATGGGTGCTGCTTCATGTCCCAGCTGCTCTACTTCCATTCCAGTTCCTTGCTTGTTGCCTGGGAAAGCAGTCGAGTATGGCCTAAAGCCTTGGGACGCTGTACCCAGAAGAAGCTCCAGGCTCCTGGCTTTGGATTGGCTCCTGGCTCTGGCCATTGCAGCTACGTGGGGAATGAACCAGCAGATGGAAGATCTTTGTCTCTCCTTCTCTTTGTAAATCTGTCCTTCCAATAAAGATAATAAATACATTTTTAAAAATAAAGAAATAAATTTTTAAAAAATTTGAAAAACAAATCAGGGGATTTTCTTAAAAAAAAAAAATGAGCCAGAGTGAAGCCAGGAACCTAGAATTCCGTCTGGGTCTCCCACATGACTGGCAGAGGTTCAGGCACGTGGGTTGTCCTCTGCTGCTTTCCCAGGCACATTAGCAGGGAGCTGGACTAGAAGTGGAGCAGCTGGAACTCAGACCAACACCCCTATTGGATACCAGTGTCACAGGCAACTGACTGAGCTACAACACCCAGCCTCACTCCTGTCTTTTCCAGGACATACCACCTCAAAGCCAAGAGAGAAACTAAACACACTCAGTTTTTCCCAAACGTGTCTAAGAAGCTTCTAAAACTTGAGATGTGTGTCTTGGGAGGGACTTGCCCGAATCCAAAGAAAGATAGAAGGGCTGGCATTGTGGTGCAGCAAGCTTAGCTGTTGCCTGTGGTGCCACGATACCTGTGGTTTTATTAGCAGCAGCTTCGCTTCTGATTCAGCTTCCTGCTAATGTGCCTGGAAGAAGTAGCAGAAGACAGCTCAAACGCCTGAGTCCTTGCCACCTGCGTGCAAGACGCTGATGGAGTTCCAGGCTCCTGGTTCAGCCTTGGCCATTGTGGCCATCTGGGAAGTGCACCCTCTCTATCTCTTTCTGTAATTCTGTCTTTCCCCATAAATAAATAATTTGAAAAAGAAGAAGAAAGAACGAAACCAAACTCTGGAATCCTCCTTTCTCCTCCTAGCCTAGCATATTTTTCTCACGATTTAATCACCTGTCTCTGCCGGCGCATTTGTCACTCAGTTTATAGGGAGAGGGCAGTGGGCTTCAAGGACACATCTGGGGGTTTTATCATGATGATTGTTCAGGCAGAAAGTGAACCACAAATGCAGCAGTAAGCTTTTAGATACCCAGCGCCCAGATGAAAGAGCAGTCCAGCTTGGGTACCTCGCGCTGCAACATGTCTCTCAGGCACCAGCATCCCAAACTGGGGGCTGGGCAGAACCAACCACTTACTTGGTCTCCCCTTCCACCCACGCGAGTGACACCCAGCCAGGCATAAAGCCGGGATCTCGGGAGAACCACAGGACGACGAGCAACATGAAGCACACGAGAACATTGACTTCAGCGAAGGAGCAGGGCCCCAGCTTCTGGTATTCCTCCTGTAGCACCTTAACGGCTGCATTCTCGCTCGTCTTCCTCTCCAGCCCGCAGCCCAGCGATTTCCTAAAACTAGAAAAAATGCAAAGATGAGAGAATGTCAGGCAGGCAGGCCGGCGGGCCAGCTGGCGAGCTCTGGAGGTGCCAGTGGGACAGGCTCAAGTATTGCCTAAGCACAGACACAGGGCACTGCCTCCCACCTGCAACAGAACCTGCAACAGAACCTCCCCTCCTTGTCTCTCTCACCTGCCTGCCGGGAATGGGACAGATGCGAAGAAGTTGGCTGAGAGGTGGAGTTTTGAATGCCTAGGCACAACCTAGGAGAACCCTCAGCACTGGACAGGGGTGTCCCCAGAGGAGTTCTAAGATGGATTAATGTGATGACTGGTCTCAGTTGGATCCCCTGGGTCAGTGGAGCCAGGAGGCTGAGGGGCTGAGCAGAACAGGGGAGGGGGAGGAGGCCAATTTGCAGAAACATCCCTGGCAAGGGAGCCCTGGCAGGTGCCGTGGCACCTGGAGACTGGCTGTTCCATAGTCACAGTCCACTATTGGGACCACTTGTGGTAGAGACCAGGGCTGCCCATGCACTCCATGAGTCTTCAGCTTCCCACCGCAGCCTGTAGCTGTCTTGGCTGGTGCTGGGAGGGCATGGGGAGCCAAGACGGGATTCAGAAGACAGGACCAGGCAGGGACAAGCTAGATCCTTGTGTGCCTGGATGGAAGCTGGAATGTAAGAGACCCTGGGATCATTAGCAGGCATGGCTGATGCAAGAAAGAAGTTCACCTGGAACCTATAATTGGATGGGTACATCAGGGTGCCCTGTAGGACTCCCCTAGAATAGTATGGGTATGAGGGGCAGAAAGAGGAAATGTAGGGGACAACTCAGCCAGGGGAAGGGGGAGAGAAAGACCATTGGTGGGGATGCAGACCCTGGGATGTTCTGGAGGATCCCACTCATGTACTCCTGCCAGCAGCGGTCTGGAGGCGTTATAGTCCTTCCAAGTCCCTGACTCAAGACTCGTAGAAAGCAGGGGTTGTTGGCAGAGTTGCGGAGTCCTGAAGCCAGTTCTGGCACGAGCCACCACACCATAATTAGACATGGCCCAGGGCACTGAACGACATTAAGACACAGCCTCCTGCAGTGACCAGGGGTCAGCAAAGGAAGTGGCACTGGTGGGGTCTCAGGTCTTCTCAGTTGGCCACTATCTCTGTGCTGGACAAAGGGGCAGCCTTTGGACTCTACTGTACATCCAGCCAGCACCCTGATGCTGGGGTGTGTATGGATGACCCTTTGGGCATGAGAGAGGTCTCTGCCTTCACTGGCTCATCCCAACACTACTTACTGTCAGCTATTGCCCTAGAGAATAGACTAGGATCTCAAGTTTCTAGGAGCTGCCCAGCAAGGGATAGGTAACAAGGAGCCCAGGCTCCTGTCTGGTGCTGGACACGTGTCCCTCGTTCAGTTGCTGTCATCTCTAAGGATACCTCAAATACACAGCCAACTAGTACTGCTGCCCTGTCTCCTGCAATCATGCCATCCAGCCCTCTCTCAGTGGGCTCAAGCTCATCAAGATCAGTTTTCACCTGCTGACTGCCGGGCTGCCCGAGATGCAGGCCAATGGGTCCAGTCGACCTGTGGGCATCCCGGTGTCCTTTAGCAGGAGAATGACTTTCACCAGGATACACTAGGCTGACCCTGAACGGAATCTGATTCAGAGCCAAGAAGAGGGGCAAGGCTCCTGGAATCCACTCGTGATGGCAGTGGGTGGAAGAACCCTGGCCCCTGTTTCAAGGGGGTGAGCCTGGCTGGGACCATGGAGTACAAGCCACAGGCAATAGCTCTAGTGGCTCTGGGTGGTCCTGTGGCCGCTGTGACTGGCTGCAGTCTAGGGAGCTGCCCACAGGCTCAGCAAGACCTTGACATTGCTCTGTAGAAGCTAACACAGGTGTCCTGGCCTCAGGTGTCTAGAGGCCATGGCAGGCTGTGGCAGGTCGTGGCCTGGGCCAGAGCCCTGACCCACCATTCAGAGTGTACAAAGGTGTCCTCTGTCTTCCAGATCTAGAACTGAAGCAAGGCTATCCAGGAGCCCCACTGCACTTTGGCATGTTGGAATTGGACATGGGGCCTGCCTGCACCCACTCCCATCACATACTGACTCTGGAAGGGTCTCACTGTTCAGACCCCCTGGCAGGCACAGGGAGCTGTTGGAGACCATTCCAGGCTGGGGACACCACTGCTGCTTCAGGTTCTTGCTGCTGAGTTCTGAGAGGCCTGGTGTCCATCTCCACTGCAGACGGGAGGCTGAGAAATCTCCCTGTACTCTTGGTGCCAGGTCAGTTTCTTACTTTTGCTTGATGGGTCTTAGAAATTGAGGAGCACCCCAACCCCACCCCAGGGCACAATCAATGTTCCTAAAGGTGATCATGTGCACACTTCCACACAGTCCAAGGCAACAACCCACGGCCTCTCCCAGAGGGGATGTGCTGCCTGTCCTGGGCTGAGGGCACAGGCTCTGGGGCCAAACCGTTTGGGCTTCAGTCTCAGCCTCACTACTTCTATGGGACATGACCCAGTGTGGGGCCACTCAGCCTTACCCCTCACTCAGCCCCTATGAATTGGGACTAAGACAAAAAGTGCCTGCATCAGGGGCTGTGGTAAGGACTGATTCAGCTCCTTGACACAGACAGCTTAGAACAGTGTCTGGCAATAATAACCACTCAGTAAATGCCAGCCGGGGTGATCTCTACTGCTCTGGGAGGAGTCACGGCTGCCCGCCTGGAGCAGGTGCTGGGGGCCATCTCCCGACAGGTTTGCTGGACATACACAAGACAGTAAGCAGTACTCTGGTCCTGGCATGGATTTGAGGATCAGGGCGAAGGGTGTTGGTGTCAGAAGCACACTGTGCAGGCAAGCAATGGGGAGATCCTCCCCTCCGTGTGGGGCCTAAACTCTGGGTGGATGGGGGTGAGCGATGCCCAGCAACATCAAGGTCATGATTATGGCAGTTTTGAACCTGAGTAGCAACTTCTTACCAGCAGCATTCAAAAGAGTTTGTCCTCTAGAAGAAATCCTAGAGAAATGCCCCATTCTGCCCCATGAAGTCACTTGCTTATAAACTCCTCTTTTAATTCTACTTTTCGGAGTGCCTCGTCCCCCTCTTTCCACCAGGGATGGAGACACACAGCACCTGGGATTTGCTCCTTACCATTTCAGGGTTGGGCAGAACCACCCTTATGGCACAGAAGTAGTTGAGTCTTTATCAAGTCAACAATGTGGCATGGCTTCTGCCCAAAGTCTGGCAGCTGACCCGGCTAACTCTGGGGGAACTTGCCAGTGTGCTGGGAACTGGACAGTGACCTTTCCAGGACCTGGTGCTGGGAACACTGGCAGGTGTTCTGTAAAGGTCAGGGTTTTTGGGTAGATCTGGGCATTCACGTGAGGTTTGCTGTGACCTGGCCTCGTGGACCCAGTGGTGCTGATTTGGGCAGAGGGACAATCTTGTCTTTAATCCTGACACCTCCCCCCAGTGATGATGCACCTGCCCTTTCTCCTAGATGGGAGCCATGCTGGGCACAGGGGGCAGGGTAGCTGGAATGCAGGAACCAAGGGGTTCCTCCATGGTGCAGTGCAGATGGAGGCAAGTCAGGCAGGTGTAGCTCAGGAAGAAGATTTGAACTGGCCTTGAGGACTCGACAGCTGGGCAGATCAGGTGGCAGGAAATGGCAGTGCAGGAGGAGGGGAGAGTGGAAGCAAAGGCACAGGGAGCACCTTGGGGTGAGGGGCTCAGGAGGGGCAGGTGGCCGGTCAGGGCCAGACCCCAAGAACTTGGTAGATTTCCCAGTGGAGAGTGCAGTTCCTTGGCAAGGGCATGGCTGGCCTGGACCAGCCTGCTGGGCGCTGCCACTTACTTGAATTTCATGAAGACACACTGGAGCCACAGCCAAGCCAACAGCAGCATGATGAGCATGTTGGGGAAAGCAAATCCAAACCAAGACCCGAAGTTCACGAGGTCTTTACTGTCAGGAAATAATCTGAAAGAACAAACATTGGCCCCCACCTCAATGTGGACACTATCGCTGGCGTGTTTTTGGGTCGGGGGAGTGTGGACAGAAGTGTGACTGCAGAGACACCCTGACACGGGGTCCATCTCAGGGGCCAGCCACTCCCGTCCATCACCCAGCAAGACCCAGAATACCACAAGGTGCAGGATTAACACTGCAGAAATACCTCCCATTCCTTCGTTCAGCCGGATTAGACCCTGCAGGGTCCCAGAGATGCCTCAGGACCCTCATTCGATTGGTCTCTACAAAATTAGAACTTCTTTGGTAAGATAAACCTTAAAAGCTTTCCAGGTGAGACCAGAAGATGCTTCCTTGGTGGGAGAGAATTACTTCAGCCCCAGTCCCACCTCCCAAGCTTAATCCCGATGCCTGGCCCCAGCCTGCTCGACCAACCCCAAAGCAGACATAGAATCTTCTAGAGTCAGCCCAGACAGACTGTTTTCCCCAAAGGAACTCAGGGAGAACCCTAAGGATATCATTACAGAACAACACCCTCAGGATTGAAACAACCTGGTGGTTGAACCTCAAGTTTGGCGGGGCAGGGTTCTAGGACGGTCTCTTCCCACCCAGCCTTTTGCAAGCTGCTATGGGCGCCCTGTGACTTTGGTTCCTGCTCATTTCTTGCACCACATGCCAGACCCTGAGCCTACCTCCCCACCCCAACCCTGCTCCCACTAGGCAGGGCCCAGACTTCCCCACCCAACTTCGGTGAGCCCGGCTCCACCCAGCACGAGGCCAGCCGCAGACATGGGCGTCCCCACAGCCTGTGTCCTTTGGAGAACTCCCAGTTCTCTTTGTGGTCTATCTGGGGCCTCGTGGAGGGACGTGGGACTACACAGGAGACACTGAGGCACCAGGTGGCCAGACTCAAACCTTTATACTGAGTCAACCTCCAGCATCTTGGCCCCTTACCATTGACAACCGTGGGTAGGGGCCCAGGGAGGGATAGTCCTCCAGTCATGCCATTTTGTGTGGGTTCTAACCAAGGATGACTGCACTGCCACCCCACCCTCAACCATGACTTCAGCTCCCCTCTGAGCCTAGGGGAGAAAAAGTGAGTGTCACCCCAGGGCATAGAGCAATCTGGGATGGATCCTTCCCTCTGTGGCCCTCCAGTGGAGGCAGGGGCTCGGGGTGGAGGACTTCTTCCCTTTCTGCCAGGCTCCCAGAGTCCTGCTGAAGAGGAGGAAGATGTGGACAGATGTTCCCAGTCCCCAGGTGGCAGGGCGGGAGGCCCAGTGACTCACTCGTGCATCTGTCCCGCCAGCACCACGTTGGGGCCCGTGCCCGTCAAAGTGGCGGTGCCCCCGATGCTGGCCGCATAGCACACACTCAGGGTCATGGCCTTGCTCATGTTCTTCCTGTTGCGGTCCGCTTTTGATTTCACGGCAGGGCCTTCGAATAACACTTGGTTCCCTGGAGTGGGGACAACTGATGTTAACCAAGTTAGTCTGGGTAGGGCTAAGAGGCAGGAGAGGAGGCATCCCAGCCCCAGGTCCTGGAAAGAACAGTCGCTTCCCAACCTCATTGGATCCTTCCACATACTCCTCAGCCTCCAGCTAAAGGCATGGAGACCCTGCCTGTCTACCCCCAGACACCCTCTCCCCTCCGTGGCTGCCCTGAGGCTGTTTCTTCTGAATTCAGCACACTTCCCCACCTCCTTGCTGTGGTCTGGGATTATCTCTTCCCTCCCAACAAGTTCTCTCCCTTTTCTGAGCTTGTCAACCTGCCTGGCAGCTCTCCCAAAGCTTCCCCCAGGGCACATGATTTGATGGAGTGGCCCAGTTAGGTTCCCAGCCCCCGCAGGCAAGAGTGCCTGGTTCAGCCCCTGAGGCCTCAGGAGCTGGCTCAGTGTCTGACTCAGGCAGCTAGCAAGCTGTGGACCTTGAGTTTCCCTGGAGCTGAGGATGGATGGGAAACTGGCGAAGAGAACAGCAGGTGCTGTGTTATGTTCCCCCGAGCTTGGTATCTAGCAAAGAAGCCAAGGCCAATGCCAAGAGCAGCAGGAGCCAAGAAGCAGTGATGGTGGTAGTGAGGCGGGTGGATTTCCTGCTCAAGGAGTCAGAGAGGCCTTGCTTGAGGATGTGAGGACATCCAGCAGATGCTCAAAAGCTACCCGAAGGCATCCTCCAATGAGCACTTACTGATATCTGTGATTGGTATGAACCCATGGCTGGACCTCGTGAGAGGTACCGTAGGAAATGCAGCATTCTAAGTGCTGTTGAAGCACCTGCCTTCTATGTAAGCCTCACATTTCTAAAACCCATGACGACAGCATTTCCTAAGCATGGTCCTCTGTGTATGTTGATAGGAGGAATTCAGGAGGCAAGGAGGGAAAAGGAGGCAGCCAACACATTTGGCAGCACAGGGGACGGCCGCTGCTGGGCTGGATCCAGGGCTCACCTGGCAGCTCGCTGGCCTTGCCCTTCTCTGCCAGCTCCAGGGCCCCCAGGTTGCCCTCAGTGGCTGAGCTTGTGGCTTCCATCTGCTGCAGCATGGCTTCCACGATGGGCACCATCATGGCCGTGGTGGCTGTGTTGCTGATCCACATGGACAGGAAGGCTGTGACGCCCATGAAACCCAGCATCAGCCTGCAGGGGATGGGTGGGAGGGAAGCCAGAGGATGTCCTAGCCCACCCTGGCCTTCCCCAAGGGCATGCAAAGGTGCTGGAGCCAGTCCCAAATTGGGCATTCCCCTGGCAGGGGGTGGAGGGAAGAGTATAGTCTGTGTGGCTTCCTCGCTGCCCTCCTTCGTCTCCCTTTCATCCCTCTCCATAAACATTACTGATGCTCTCTGCTAGCTCCTGGGGTCACCTTGGGCCCAGCCGGGGTCCTCAGGAGTTCCCCATGTAACTTCAAGGTAGGGCAACTCAATATGGAGTGTGCCTTGCAATAACCTGGGAAGTGTGCAGGCTGCCCCAGCCCCCGCTCATTCCCAGCAGGTCATCTTTCACCCCTCTCCTGCTTCTTCCCAGCTGAGCAGCCTGCAGGGGGAGAATAGCCAGGAGGAGGCTCAAGAAAGGGTGACTTACCCAGTGACCAACACCTATGCAAGGGCCCAGCCCTGGCTAAGCTGGGTCTGTGCCACGCCTCTCTCCCCAACCTCCCCAACTACGTGGCAAGAGAGAGAAGGGATAATTACTGTGCAGGCTTGGCCCCCACCAAGAGGAGCGTGCGCAGGGCAATCCTCTTGTGAAGGTTCCAGCGTTCCACGGCCACAGCTGCGATCAGGCCACCCAGGAAGAGCATGTTGGTGTCCTTCATGTACTGCACGCACACCTGGATGGTGACAGCCCTGTCAGAGTTGTCTCCTGGCCCACACGCTGCTGGAGCTTGAGGCCACCGGTATTTCCCGGAGACTGACCAGAGGCCGACTTGGGAGTGGGGCTGCAGGTGCGAGACTCTACACTAGAGAGTTGCCACTAACATGGTTCCTCTGGCCACCCCTGGGCCTAGTCAGCTCTGAGAGGGCTGCAGGGAAGGAGTCCATGAGGGGACCGCTCCTCCCACCCCCAATCCCGTCCCAAAGCTACGCACCTGCTTGGAGTCCAGAATCTGCAAGAGTGGGAAGAGTAAGACTGGCAAGAGGGCAGTGACGGCCAGAGGGATGACTTCAGTGCACCAGTAGACAGCCATGAGGATGATGACATAGGCACACCTGACAAACTGAAGATACAGTCGTGAGGCCATGGCAGGCTGCCGCTCCACCCCACAGCAGGGAGGGGGCAGTGGCAATGGTGGGGACGGCCAGAGGGGACAGCCAGAGGGAATGTTGGGCCTGGGCCCAGAGAAGCACAGTCACTCTGGCTCCGCACAGAGACATGGATTCCCGTCTGTCCTCAAGACTGCAACCCCATGGCCAGAGATAGCCCAAGTGCCTGTGCCCCTAATACCCATAAGGGAGACCCACAGGGGGTTTCTAGAACCACCACAGGGGCTCCTGGAGAGGTGTTTAGAAGCACTTCTTCAAATTCCCAGTCCCGATTCCTTTCTTTTTCTCTTCCTTTCTTCCTCTCTCTTTCTTTCAGATTTATTTTATTAGAGAGAGAGAACGTCCATCTCTCTTCCAGGTTTCCTATCTACATGGGTGCAAGGGCCCAAGAACTTGAACCATCTTCTGTTGCTTTCCCAGGCCATAAGTAGGGAGCTGGATTCAAAGTGGAGGAGCTGGGTGTTGAACCAGCACCCACTTGGCATACCAGTGTTTACAGGTGGGTGACTGGCCCACTATGCCACCACAGCGGCCCCTCCTGATTCCTTTCTTAAAGGTTCAGCTCCCACTGTCCCTGCTGCCAGACATGTGCCTGTCCCACCTGCTCATCCAGATTGTTGGCAACCACTGGCCGTTCCCGTGGTTTGGGTCCTCGCTGGTTACAATTGTTGGAGCTTGGTGCTTTTGTGGGCATTCCTCTCATGGCCAAGTTCCTAGCTTGACTTCCCCCACATGTGACCTGGGTCCTCTGTCCACATGCGCCAACCACTTGGCCACTGGCTCTTGTGGTTTGATGCAAGTGCTAACTGCAGGACTTGGGGTCAGTAACTTTCCCACCTCGTCCTCCAGTTTTCATGGGGAGTACTAACTCCTCCCTTCATGTTTCAGGTTTCATCCGGGTGACTTGGCCAGACTTTGCCCTCTGCTTCATCCCATCCTCCTGCAGCTATGTCAAAGCCTGACGTTTTTTGTCCCTGTTCTCAGCCCCACTCTCACCGCTGTCCTCTGCAATGAAGTTGATGGGAGGCCAACGTGGTAGACCAGGCTCCTGTTCTGGGCCCTAACAGGCCACACTGGACATAAAAATGAAGAGGCCAGCACCATGGTGTAGTAGGTTAAGCCTCTGCATGTGGTGCATGCTGGTTTGAGTACCAATTGCTCCATTTCTGATCCAGCTCCTTGCTAATGTGCCTGGGAAGGCAGTGGAGGATGGTCCAAGGCCTTGGGACCCCATATCTAGATGAGAGACTCAAAAGAAGTTCCTAGCTTTGGCTGTTGAGGCCATTTTGGAAGTGAATCAGCAGACAGAAGAGCTCTTTCTTCTTCTCTTAAATCTATCTTTTAAATTAAAAAAATAAATAACTCTAAAAAAAAAGAAAAGAAAGAAATCGATACAGGGTCACACACACTGAGGTTCTCTGGCATAAAACCCAAACAAACTTCTCATCTGAGCATCGGAGACAGCTGGAGGGAGACGCCAGCTGCCTTCCCACAGGCCAGCTGCAAGGGACCTGGTGAGCTTCCTGCTTTAATCCTTCCAAACGGTAAGTGATGCAAACCCTCCTCTCCATTTTCTACGGTTCTCTGTCTCTGTCCCAGCCTTGCAAAGAAAGTGACTCTAAAATGACCCATCACCTCTTGGTAGCTCCTGCCTGCTCTTTTGTGCCCTTCTCTGTCTATAAAAACCGAGTTCTTGAGCTCAGTCCTGGGGGAGGAATGCTTACTCCATTTCATGGAAGGAAGTGTTGCTGCATTCTAGAACTGCCTACTGAATTCAAACCAGCACTTTGACTTCACACATTATTATTTCGTGTCTGGACCATACTTCAGTTGCTGCCCCTGCTCAGGCTGTGTGTACCCTTTGCCTGTATTGCCACACTGGTGTGATCTGTCCATTCCTTGCCCACCACCTGCACCATGCCCCCTCTTCGTTGTTGCCAATCTGGTCACATCATCCCTCTGGTTTAAAAGCCTCCTGTTGCCTTCAAGACAGAACCCAAATGCCTTAGGAAAACTTCCAAGACCCTGCAATGGCTCAGGCCTGCTGACTCACCCAGCCCCATCTCCTATCCCAGGTTCCAGCTGTCCCACAGCACTGAGTCTCGAAGCTGACACTGTTCCTCCCTCTCCCAGCCCCGTTGTCTAACTTTCTCCCTTGTCTGGAGCAGGGACTTCAGCTCAGCATCACTCTTGGATGCCAATCCTGACTCTCTCCCCCACCTCTATAACACTCTGTCCTATGCACCCCCCTTCCAAACCAGGACCCCAGCAAATTGGCACCCTGGATTGTCATGGTTTCCTTTGCTTCCTTTCCTTCCATGCCACCAAATGGCACACAATCTGAGAGCACAAATGACATCTGAGGTTTGCTCCCAGCAAAGTCCCAATCCCCAGGACAGGCTCAGCAAGTGCTAACTGTGTTGCCCCAAATCGGGCTGTGATGGCACCACTAAAAATGAGGCTCTCCCCACCCCATCCCTGCAGATCACCATGAAGCATTCAACCGAACTCCGAAGTGCCTCATTGAGCTCACAGGTGTTATAAAAACCACGTCCACGCCTACTGCCCTTGAACAACCCAGGATACCTCCCTTGTGTCTCCGACTGGGTTTGCCAACCTGGCCACGGGGGCACTTTGGGGCGAGGCATTCCTGCTGGGAGGATCTGACCATTCTGTGCCCTGCAGAAGCTTTACCACTCTCCTTGGCCTCTGCCCAAGAGATGCAGTGGCACTCTTTCCAGTGGTTTCAACAAAAATGTCTGCAGGTTGTGCCAGAGCTGCCCTGCTGGGGTAAGGGGCAAGAATGGAAGGAGTCTTGGGATGTGGCCCCTTGCTTGGTGCTTATTCTAAATAAAGCACTGTGAGAGCAGCAGGTGTCAGAAGAGGCTCTCCTCCCATATCTCCTCGGCTGCCTGAAGTGCAGATCCATCCGCCGAGGATGAAAGCAGGGAGCTCAGGTCCCCCTCTGCTGTCTGTCTAACTAACTCAGATCACGGGAAGAGAGACTCAAATCCGTCCATACACCCGCATACACTTCTGTCGCACCTCACCATCCTCGGGTTGCACCATTCAACATCCCAAAGAGAGGCATTTACAATCAATTCATTTGGTGTGACCCACGACAACAGACTTTGTGCCAGGCCATTGTGTGTTTCTCCACCCTCTACCCTTCCCCTGAACCCTGGCTCTGTCCTCTCAGCACCCCTGGGAGCTTCTGCCTCACGTTGGGCTGCTGGGCATGCTCACTCCACGACTACCTGCAGGCATATCATCTACCACGTGTGGCTTCTAAGGCAGACTTTCACGCTAGCGTGCATATACGTGCGCACAGGCACACAAACACATACTCACACACACACACATCCGGGCACTGTCCACTCCTGTCACCCCTTCCCTGGCCTTCATCAGTCACCAGCTGCTCTGGGAGTGTCCCATAGAAACAGGTTGGGGGAGGGATGCCCTTCAAGGTCAGGCTTTAAGAGGGTGCTATGGGGCCCTGCGCGGTGGCCTAGCAGCTAAAGTTCTCACCTTGAACATGTCGAGATCCCATAGGGCGCTGGTTTTTATCCTGGTGGCCCCACTTCCCATTTAGCTCCCTGCTTGTGGCCTGGGGAAAGCAGTAGAAGATGGCTCAAAACCTTGGGACCCTGCACCTGCATGGGAGACCAGGGAAGAGGCTCCTGGCTCCTGACTTCAGATTGGCTCATCTCCAGCCATTGCAGCTGCTTGGGGAGTGAATTAATGGATGGAAGATCTTCATGTCTGTCTCTCCTCCTTTCTTTAAATCTGACTGTGCAATAAAAACAAATCAATCTTTAAAAAAGAGGGTGCTGTGGCATTTGGGAGGCTGGGTGTGGATTCTCTCCTTGTCTCCCCGCTTCTCCCAGATACAGGGAGGAAAAAAAGAATGTGGAAATGGTGATCTCACCCACCTGCCTGCAGCCTTTCACCCTTATCACCCTAATCAACTATGTAAAAATTAAAAATAAAAATAATTAATAATAAAAAGAGGGTGCTGTGGTAGAGAAAATACTATCTGAAAGTCACGTGACAGCCACTGTAAACAATGCAGTTGATAAATGACGCCTCTGTAACTGACAAATTAACATTACCTCAATGCCATTGATTAAACTGCTACATTGGTGTTGCTCTCCACCTTGACTCTTCCCACCCCTTGCTTTGTGTCCTGTTTGCTAGACTGAGGATGTACAGTGTCCACTCTTAATGGGTAGCACAGAAAGTCTTCAGTCATTTGCTGCTGTCTAAATTTATTTTTTAAAGATTTATTGATTTTTATTGGAAAGTCAGATATACAGAGAGGAGGAGAGACAGAGAGGAAGATCTTCTGTCTACTGACTGACTCCCCCAGGTGACCGCAATGGCCAGAGCTGAGCCGATCCAAAGCCAGCAGCCAGGAGCTTCATCCAGGTCTCCCACGCGGGTCTCCACTGCATTCCCAGGCCACAGGCAGGGAGCTGGATGGGAAGTGGGGCTACTGGGATTAGAGCCAGCACCCATATGGGATCCCAGTGTGTGCAAGGCGAGGATTTTTAGCTGCTAGGCTATCATGCCAGGCCCTAAATTTATTTTTCACTTTGTATTTGAGAGAGAGTGAGAGGAGACAGAGATACAGTGATCTTTCATCTGCTTATTCACTGCCAAAATGCTCATGCCACAAGTCCAAACTCCGTCTGGATTTACCGCAGGCGCGGCAGTGACCCAAATACTTAAGCCTTCATTTGCTGCCTCTTAGGTGGATCAGCAGGAAGCTGGAGAGAAAGCAGAGGAGCTGAGACTAAACCAGGTACTCCCATAACAGTATGTGGATGTGCCAAGCGACCACTAAACCACGGCACCTAGCCTGACTGTCTCAATTTAGAGGCCGAAGCGGGAGGTGGCCTGTGTGCTCACAGCCAGTCCTCCAAGAAGCCACGCAGCCATCAGAGACGGGGAGGGGACACAGGAGACCCACCGGTCCACCTCGCCTCCGGCCCACAGTCAGGAGGTCCACACGCTCTCATCCCTGAGTCATTCACACCAGCCAATGCCCCTCCCCGACGCAGCATGACCTCAAGGTTGAACAGTGAGGGGCTGAATGGGAAGGGAGATGTTAACCAAGTCTGGGATGAGGGAGATGACTGGGGAAAAAAGAAGGAACTGCTTTTGGTGCCCAACTACAGTGACTAGATAGAGAGACAGGCTGAAGGGAAAAGCCGATGAAGGGATCCAGCATGGAACCCTAGCAGATCAGAGGCTCTGGGAACATACCTGCAGGAGCCCGTGCTCGACGGGACAGGCCATGGTTCCCTGTGTCTGTGCAGTTACAGCCAGGCCTTGCTTCATCAGAGGCACATGTGCTAAGAAATACATCAGGAGCGGTCCTCATGGTGTGGCCCTTACAGGGTGACCTCTCCCGAGCTGCAATGACCACCAGGTCCCAAAGGTACCTGAAGGGAATATCACTGTTGCATATGTGCTCTCAAGCACTGGCTAAAATGTCACCAAGTGGCATGATTATATTAACCAATAGGGACATCCCTACCGCATTGCTCAATGAGAAAATGTAGGGAAATCTGTACTGTGTGTGTGGAGAGACACAGAGAGATCGGTGGCTTTTTTTTTTTTTTTTTGCAAAGATGCCCTTCATGATATTTTAAATCATGAGATTTGAATTTCAGTTTTACTTTATACTTTGCAAACTTGTATAAAAATTGGACAATTTTATTTAAAAAATTATAATCTGCTTATTTTTTTTCTAGTTACATTTTTAAAAAGAAAGGATCCAGAATATGAGTAGAGAAAGTAGAGACGAGAGGAGGCCAGGAGGGCAGTGAGGTGGCGGGGAGAGGAGCAGACAGGCAGGAGGAGGGGGACCAGGCACTGGCAGAGGCCCCACAGCCCAGGCTGAATGAGGCGCTGGAAGGCAGCCCCTGGTTGGTGTCCCCCAGGGTAGGTTAGCAGCACACGCATGAACAGGTGAGTCTACGCTGGGACCCCTGCAACTTGGGGTGTGTGGCAGGGGCACCCTGAGGCCCTGAGGCACTATCCAGGCGCAGGAAGACCAACCACACTAACTATAAAGTCTCCACAGGACATCGTTCCCTGCCTGCAGGACTGAAATCCAAAGTTTAGCCTTCCACGGATGCAAACAGCCCCCAAAGCTCTTTCCACAGAGAAACACGGCTGCTTGCCGTTGGAGCAGCAACTGAAGAGCTGCCACAGTTTCACCTGCTGGCTGTGGTGCCCCCAGGTACCGTGCAGAGCCCACCCCAGAGCTCCCCTCCCCCTCCCACGCCTTCGGAACAAAGGTGCTTAACTCCACTATCCAGATGAGAATACTGAGGTCCAGAGAGCTTGAGGAGCAGACCGACCCGGCAGGGATGCATGGATGGTGGAGGTGTGCATCTGGTGCAGGTGGGGTTTTGATGTCCCAGTCCGCGCCCCCTTCTAGGACTGCCTCCCAGTGCACCCCACCTCCCCCAGAAGACTGTCTCTGTTCTCTAAACCTGTCAGGCAAGGAATGGTGGCGGGGAGGGAGCCGGAGGTTTCCTGTCTGGGCTGAGAGTGAAAGGGACTGAAGCTGGGGAACGAGGAAGGAGCAGCCAGCAGCCACAAAAAGCTTCAAAGGGCTCGGGCCTCTGCCAGGCTGGCTAGAGTCTGGGCCAGGGTGCAGCTCCGCCCCCACCCCATGGCCAAGGCCATTCATTCCCTCCTTCCCTCCCAGGAGCACCAGGCAGCTGGGCCATGGGATGCAGCTTCCTTGCAACCCAGGGCTGTGCCACCCAAGGCGTGAGCTCTGGGAGCGTGTCCCGCCTCCCAGCCGCAGCAGGCAGCAGGTCGTGGGCAGAGCAGACCAACCTCAGCCTGCCCCGCAGCCTCGGACACGGTTAGGACTCAGAGGAGGCTCTGCGTGTTGGTTGCCGAACTGGACAGAGATGTGTCTCCTAGTTAAGGAAACTGAGGTCTCTAGAAGGCTCCTGGAGAGTGGCAAAGCAGCCTTGGCACCAGTTAGATGACAGCTTTTTCCTTTAAGTCTTCGACTGACAGAAGCCTGCTACAGCACCCAAATCTCCATGGTGAGTGGAAGAGACAGGAGTGGAGGACATGGGGGCCAGCAGCAGAGCTCTCTGCTGGTCTAGGGGGACCCTGCTGGCCTTGGGGGGCTGCTGCGGGACTGAGGGTGGCTCCCGAACTGGACCGCTGGTGATGCACTCTGAGGAGATTCTAGCTAAGGTCTGAGCCTGGGGCAGGCGAGTCTGTGTGGCTGCGGTCTGTGCTTCTAAGTCTCTGTGCTTGCCGGAGCGGTTCCTGCACCCCGGATTTGTGAACCCCACATCTGGCACCAGAGTGCCCGCGCAGGCCCCTGAGGGAGGCTGGCCCTCCCCGCCCAGGGGATCCGTGCGCTCCAGCTCAGTGCTCCTGGACACAGGGCACCCCAGTTCTTCGGGGGCTGCCCGGAGACGCAACTGACCTTGGCGGGCATCAGAATGATGAGAGGCAGCAGCAGGAGCGGGGTGACGAACAAGATCACGAAGGACTTGAACTTGGAGACATAGCTCAGAGCCGAGGCCATCGCGCGGGAGGAAGAGACCGAGTGAGGGGCAGCCTCGGGCTCGGCGGGCTTAAGAAGGGGACGGACTCCCCCCACTCCACACCCGCCCCCGGGAGTGGGGGGCGGCGACGACTCCGCCCCCCACGGACCGGCCTCCCCGCGGGCCCCGGGGCGGGGCTACCCCTGGGGTCCGTGGGGCCGCCTGCCCCCAGAGCTGCCACCCGGCGGTGGCTGAGGGTGTCTGCGGCGGTGACGCTTCGAGGGTGCCCCTGGCCCCTCAGCGCTCCTAGGAGGGTATCCCTGACCCCTCAGCGCCCCAGGGAGGGTACCCCCTGACCCCTCAGCGCTCCGAGGAGGGTGCCCCTGACCCCTCAGCGCTCCTACGAGGGTGCCCCTGGACTCTCAGCGCTCCTAGGAGGGTGCCCCTGGCCTCTCAGCGCCTCAGGGAGGGTGCCCCTGGCCTCTCAGCGCCCCTAGGAGGGTACCCCTGACCTCTCAGCGCCCCAGGGAGGGTACCCCTGACCCCTCAGCGCTCCTAGGAGGGTGCCCCCGGCCTCTCAGCGCCTCAGGGAGGGTACCCCTGGCCTCTCAGCACCCCAGGGAGGGTACCCCTGACCCCTCAGTGCTCCTAGGAGGGTACCCCCGGCCTCTCAGCGCCCCAGGGCTACCCTGGGGCAGAGGCGTGCCATCCTGGGGACGACCTAGCCGGCTTAACTGTCATTCCCTCTCCCCACTCCGCGTGCTCTCCCCTCCCGCATCCTCACCTGCTGTATCCTGGGCTCCGGAGCCCCCCCCCCCTACCGGCCCGCCTCCCTCTTCTTCACCTCTCAGTCCTTACACCCTCCTCATCCCGGGGCGGGGACAGCCTCAAAGGCCGTGCGGGTGCCCCGCGCCCCTTGCCTCTCCCTGGCTACCCGCTCGGCGTTCCCCCCTACTCCAGGCACAGCTTCCATCACCCAGTGAACCCTGGGGCACCGGAGGGGGCGAGACCACCGTGCTCCGCAGTTCCAGCGCCCCCCAGCAGACGCCCCAGCCCTCAAGGCCTCCTGGAGGGGCCTCCATTGAGCCGCTGCAGACCGCCGCAGCCCGCCCCGCTCAGGTCGGGATGGCCGGGTTCCAGAGGGAGAGGCTGGGACTGAGGGTCATTCATTCTCTCGGCTGCTTGCCAGCCAGCGCGATGCACGCCCGAGTCCAGTCATCTCCATGACTCCCTGCCTCGGGTTCCGTGTCTGTGGACTCCAGCACCAGCCCCTGCCAAGGGCACCTAGGGGTTGACATTGATCTGCAATGGTTGCCCTACAGGCAGCACGTGCAAACCTTTTTTTCCTTGTCGTGATTCCCTAAACACAGTTTAACAAGGGGTACCCATTAATCGGGTGTTGTAAATCAACTAGAGGTTACTTTGTTATTTGTTATTTGTTTGATGTATTTATTTGAAAGGCAGAGTTAGAGAGAGAGAGAGAGAGATCTTCCATCCACTGATTCATGCCCCTGAATGACTATAACAGACAAAAGCCAAAGCCAGGAACTTCTTCAGAGTCTCCCATGTGGGTGCAGGGTATGGGGCACTTGGGCCATCCTTGCTGCTTTCTCAGGCACATTAGCAGGGAGCTGGATGGAAAGTGGAGTAGTCGGGACTCGAACTGGCGTCTGAATGGGATACTGTGTCACAGCCAGTAGCTTAACCCGATGTGCCACAAAGCTGGCCCCTAGGTGATTACAAGGAGGGTGTGCTGAGTTCTATGTAAATATGAGGCCAGGGGTCCTGGAACAGATTTTTCAGGTTCCTGAGGTCCAGCCTTTCACAGCCTGGATGCAACTCAGGTCCTAAGCCCCAGCACAGCATGGACCAAGTTCGGGTTCTCTTCCTCTATCTTGTGTCCCAGGTAACACAAGCCCCTCCAAGCCTCTTCTATCTTCCTCTGTTGTAATTCTCATTTGTATAACTCTGGGCTTCCCCACTTCTTCATTCTCCCAGTGCCCATGTTTACTGAGCGGTTTCTATTTAATGTCTGTTGTATTCATCATGTGGCCAACCAGTACATTTTTCCACTTTGTGAAAAAATATTGATCAGAGATGCAGAGAGAGGTCCCATCTGCTGGTTCACTCTCTAAATGCCAGAGACTTCTGGGACTGGGCCAGGTCTGCTCTGTAGCTGGCCGACAGCCAACCACTTGAGCCCACCTGCTGCCTCTCCAGGCAGCCAACACCTTGCTGGTGCCAGCCTGGGGTGTGCACTGCACACATTTTTTTCCTGAATGTGTGAAGGAAACCGCTGTGGTCCAGAACACACCTGCTGGCGAGGGGCTGTCACACAGAGCCACCATTTGTCCCCTGGCTCCACCTCCTCCTGGCTCAGTGCCTCAGATACCCGCCTGTGCTCTTCTCTCATCAGCGAATAGGCGGGCACCAGCTTGGATTTCCAGAGGTTGTTTCCCAAGGCTTACTGGTTCATGCTCAGTGCTCTGCCTTGCAGTCGGCCACCAGTAAGTACTGGCTCCAGTGACTTTATGCAAAATACTCTGCGTAGTAGAGGCTTTGGGAAATCTGGCTAAAGCCAAGGAGGAAGGCTTCATGGAGGAGGCGGCACTCCAGCTGGGACTTAAAGGGCACTAATTTTCCCACACAGCAGCTGGTGGGGAGGGGGGGTTGGGGATGTAGACAAAATCACTAATGAATGAGAAAGAAAGTGTTGAAATGGGTGAGAAAAATCCCAAGATCAGTCAGGGCCCCTCCCTCTCACACCCATCTCTACGTTAAAAATATTGTTGGGATTTTTAACTTTCAAGTAGTGAAAGTGATTGAGACACTTCTGGAAGAAGGAGGCGAAACTTTTGTATTTCATGACTGACCAAGTTATAATGATTGACAGCTTACCAGGTACTGGCAAAAATAGAAAAAGCAGAGTGAGGACCCGGTATAGTAGCCTAGTAGCTAAAGTCCTCGCCTTGCATGTGCTGGGATCCCGTATGGGTGCCGGTTCTAGTCCTGTCTGTTCCACTTCCCATCCAGCTCCCTGCTTGAGGCCTGGGAAAGCAGTCGAGGACGGCCCAAAGCCTTGAGACCCTGCACCCGTGTGAGAGCCCTAGAAGAGGCTCCTGGCTCCTGGCTTTGGATCAGCTCAGCTGCTGGCCATTACAGCCACTTGGGGAATGAGTCAGCAGATGAAAGATCTTTCTTTCTGTCTATTCTTCCTTCTGTATATCTGACTTTCCAAAATAAATAATTAAATAAAACTTAAACAGAGTGGAGCTTGGCGGTAGGCCCCTGGACCACGTAGAGTGGGGATTGTGGGCTGCCTAAGGCCCATTTGGAGCTGCTGGGTCAATTCACCTCTGGCAACATGGACAAGTTGGTTTTCTCCCAGTGTGCCCCACAAACACAGGAAAGTCAGGGTTTCTAATATGTTAGCAGGTATCCATAGCTTTTTAAAAAATATTTATTTTTATTAGAAAGTCAGATATATAGAGAGGGAAGAGATGGAGAGGAAGATCTTCCATCCATTGATTCACTCCTCAAGTGGCTGCAATGGCCAGAGCTGAGCTGATCCAAAGCCAGGAGTCCAGAACCTTCTCCGGGTCTCCCATGTAGGTACAGAGTCCCAAGACTTTGGGCCATCCTCCACTGCTCTTCCACAAGCAGGGTTGGGGAGTGGAGCAGCCAGGACATGAACTGGTGCCCATGTGAGATCCCAGCACATGCAAGGTGAGGATTTAGCCACTGAGCATAGTGACAGGCTATGCTTCTTAACACAGAAAAATTCTGTAACTTAAAAAATATATAATGATGAAAAGAACATTAAAGTTTTTAAAAGTATTTGGTTTAAATTTTTTTAAAAAAAGATTTACTTATGTTTTTATTGGAAAATCAGATATACAGAGAGAAATAGAGATAGAGAGGAAGATTTTCCATCCAATGATTCACTCCCCAAATGGCTGCAACAGCCGGAGCTGAGCTGATCTGAAGCCAGGAGCTTCTTTCTGGGTCTCCAATATGGATGAAGAATCCCAAAGCTTTGGGTCATCCTTGACTGCTTTGCCATGCCACAGCAGGGAGCTGGATAGGAAGCAGGGCTGTTGGAGTACAAACCAGTGCCCATACAGGATCCCAGTGTGTGCCAAGTGAGGACGTTAGCCATTAGGCTACCATGCCGGGTCCCTGGTTTTTAAATTTTACCATGTTTCTTTCATTTGACCTCATTCACCAAATTGATATTAGTAGATTAATTATGCAATTATAATTTCTGATAAAGTATCAGTTTCAGTATGTATTTATTTTAAGATTTCTTTATGTGAAAGGCAGAGTTACAGAAAGAAGCAATATGTAGAGAGAGATTGGTCACAAGGGCTGGCTTGGTCAAAATCAGGAGCGCTACCTGGGTCTCCCACATGAGTAACAGAGTCTTAGCAACTAGGTACATGAACAGGGAACTGGGTAGAGAATTCCAAACCAGTGTTCATAATGGTGCCAGCACTGCAGGCAGAGGCTTAACCTTATATGCCGCAACATCAATCCCAAGTATACATTTCTAACCAATAAAAATGAAGATGTTGGTGCAAGTGCAGATGGAGCTTCTCTTAGAGACAGCCATGCAGCAGATCGAGCTTCTCAGGAAACAAGACTAGACACAAATACAGTCAAAGTCCACCCACAAAATTGCAAAGTTAAAACAGAACATCGTGCCATGCTGGGTCTGACACGTGTGTCCCTAGTAGTCACTGGTTTGCGAACAAAAGCATCAATTTACAAAGTAGCCTCTAAAAATGCACCCACTACTTATTCATAAAAAAAAAGCAAAAAAAGCAGAGGATGAATAACAGCGTTACGAAAGCTGAACATTTTTGCAGGGTCACGTGTTTGTCAGAGGCAATTTGGGAAAATGCCTAAGAATTGGGATTGTTGAATGCGAGGCCTGGGCAACATGGATGAGTCTTTGAGCGCTGATGGACTGTTGGCTGTGCTGCTCGCGTGTCTGCTGAATTCTCAGAAATGCTACCGCCTTTTCTGTTACAGCTCTTTC